TTTTTTTTTTTTTTTTTTCTATTTGTGGGTTAGAATTTGTTTGTTTGTATTTTATATGTGGGGCTAGGGTTTCTTTTCTTATAATGGGGTTATTGTTTATTGATATCTATTTTATACTTTATCCTACTAAAAAATAAAACAAAGTAAATAATGTGTTGTAATTGATGATTTTGTCATCTGGTTGTGGTCCTGTATTGAAGCTGTTTGTTTTTAGGGTTTTTTACGTGTGTCTTGCTTATGGCTTTCTACTTACTGTTGTAGACCTTCACTTGTCCCTCTTTTTATGCCTTTGCATCTGATACAAACTGAAGATGATTGCTAAAGTGGACCTCGTATTTCACTATGGGGATAATTGGATATTTTCACTTGAAATAGTGTATGATAAAAAGCATGTGTACACTTTGTCTGGTTATGATTCTTGCCTTGTCAACTATAAAAGTATGTGTGAAGAATTTACCAAAAATTTAGGATTTAGCTCAGTCGAGCAACTTTTAGTGACTGGACCTTTGAGGAGGTACTACCTGATAAGTGATGATGATGGTGTGAAGACTCTTAAGTACTTATTCTCTAAAGAGTTCAATATGATTAACTTTTTTGCTGTGGATGAGTTTGAAGCTATAGTGTTTGCTCAAATATTATTCATCATAAAGAGAAATATTCTGTAGACATTGATGCAGCTTCTAAATGTGAAAGTAGTTTAGGTGGTGGTATTTTTGATGATCTTGAAAGTTTTAAATATGATTATTCAGAACTTAAAGCTATTAGTCCAGAAGAAAAAAAGAGGTTGTAACTGATAGGTTAGAACATTTTAAGGAGTTGGAGTTAGTTATAACATTTAAGGATATTGAAGAAGCTAGAAGGACATTGATGCATTGGCTAATAGAAGAGGGTTGCATGTGATCAAAATTAATTATGTCCATTTAGATGTTATATCTCACAGGATGGCAATAGTGATAGCTATCAAATGAAGACATAGAAAGATGTCCATACATATGATCCTTGCTTCAAAAATCTTAGGGCCGATCAGAATACTTTAACTCACCTATTTAAGAGAAAAGTACAGTATAATCCTCAATATAGCCTGAAGGAAATGAAAGATGATTTAGAGACTGGATTTGAATTAAATGTGTCAATGTCTAAGCTTAAGAGGGCCAAGAATTTAGCACTTAAGAAGTTAGAGGGCAGTTTTGTTGATGACTATAAGAAACTTGAGGCCTATAAGCAAGAACTTAAACAATCTAATCCTGGAAAGTAGGGGAAATTTTTTTGAAAAGTAGAACCAGCTCAGGCAATGGAACCTCCTGATGTTTCCAAGAATGTGGGCAGACCTAGAGCAAAGAGAACCAGGGAACCAGATGAAGCAAGGAAGAGAGTCGGGGAGTGGAGTTACTCAAGAAAGGGAGTTGTGATGACATGCAGCAATTGTGGTGGGGAAAACCACAATGTTAGGGGTTGTTTCAAGGTAAAGAATTTTGATTTGGCTTCTATGATTTGTCACAACTTCTAATAATTTATTTTGGGTGCCAGGAGAAACTAATGCAGACACTTCAAAATCAAGAAAAAGGAAACACCAGAAAGGTGGTTCAAGTCAGACCTCAGCTCCAGAATTTTCACTTGCATCTGCTGCTTTTGAAGATGAAGGAATGGACTTTGATAGTGAACCTATGACACAACAGACACAAGAATCCTCTTATGCCACAACTGGCTTATCATAAGGCTATGGTTCTGTTATTAGTACTGATGAAGATCCACCTCTGAGGCCAATAGTTATTGCTGAATCAGAAACAAGACTTGCAGTTAGAAAGCTGCATGTAATGCCACCAACAGGAAGAAGAAGAATTCAATTTTATAAAGATATAGATGGAGTGGCAATACCATCAAATTTGCCTTACTCACCAACTAAGGCAACTTGGAAGGGGAAACCAACTGTCACACTCAAGCAGATCCAAGATGAAGCAAAAAAAAAAAAGAAAAAGAAATTGAAGATGGCATCAAATTGCAAAGTTTAGCAAGTTTAGGAACCTTTTTGGGGTAGATGTCTATTTGTTAAAAACTTACATTATGGATAAAATTCTAGCTGTTGGTTTTTGCTGATTTCAGACCTTTGGGATATATATTTTTTCGGTTAAAAACTTACATTATGGATGAAATTCTGGCCGTTGGTTTTTGGTGAATTCAAACCTTTTCTATTTGACTTGAAATGGTTTTATGCAAATGAATATTGTTCTAAATGTTATTCTGGTTGTTGGTTTGTAGCTGTTGGATTCTGCTTGATTTGAAATGGTTTCAGTAAGGAAGCATGTGTATGTTTGTGGTTTTATTGTATAGGTTTCGAAAGAACTTATATGTATGGAGGGCATATTTGATCAAAATCGTTTAGTTGGAGGGCATATTTGATCAGATTGCATTTACACTCTGTTAACAAGTGAACCACTTTTGTTGAAACTCGTTCTAAGATGCACATTATTAGTTCAAACCATCATTTTGGGTTAAACATTTCATCTAGGTTGTTGCACACTCATTACATTAAGATCAAACCATTACACAAGAAAAAATTCATAAAGTCATTACATTCCATTCATTCATATAGTCACAAAATATGATTACATTCCATCCAATATTCAAAAGCTACATAACTTAATTATGTAATACATAACCAACAATAAACCCAACAATGATGCACAATAACATAACTAATACATTTTCTCTCTTTTTTGCATATCTCCCATCATTTTTAGTAGAGGAAGGGAGATTACCAATAACAGAAGATGCCTCCAAATCAGCAACTATATCCCCAAATGATTTAGTTTCAAGCTGAACAACAACAACTTTTTCCTTCAAATATATGGTTTCTCTCTCAAAAAAATCAGCTTCTTTTTTTAAGTAATCATTTTCATCAACAAGAGTATCCTTTTTCCTTTTCAATTTGTTGATGACAATAGTGGCTCTTGGATGAAATTCGTCATCATCCCATTCCGCATGATATTGGCTGCAACATAACAACTAAATTTGATTATAATTCAAAAACAAAAAAAAAAACTATAAACACAAATCTGAAAATTTAAAAGAAAACAATAACTTACACCAGGTTTATAACACTTAAAAAAACGTCTCCCATGATTTTCAGGAGTCCACGAAGTGAGGTGGAGCACAACATTTTCACATGGACAATTCCTTACACTCCGGTTAAAAGAGCTCGATGTTTGCGACATTTCACGAACGAAGAAAAGAAATAAAGGACCAAGTTTGTTGGAACTCAAAGACTAAACCCTATATAATTCTGAAATTGGGTCAACGATTTGGGAAAAAACCCTAATGGGGCAGCTATGGTGAGAGGAGAAATTGGGAGAAAGCGAGGTGTGAGAATGGGTTAATAAAATAAGATTGGGATTTATTAAAAAAGAATATCGGGTCGGGTCAGTTTAACAAAGTAAGAGTGATGGGTCTGGTTGGTTTATTATTTAAAATCAGAGTATAGATGGAATGCACCAGATTGTGACACGTGTCAAAATATAGTGCTAAATATTTTATTAGTGAGGTCTATTTAAAAAAAAGGCATATGTGACCCAACTTATACACAGAAACGGCAGGATTGAGTCCATCTTTTAACGACGGGCAAATATGTACAATTTCGTAAGCATATCTGGACCTTTTCCGTATATAAAGTATTTAAGTTTGGTAAACAATTTGAAGGTTGTGAAGAAGAAACAATGAATTGCCAAGGGAAAGATACCGGCACTAGCAGAAAAGTCATCAACACCGTCCTTCAAGCGTTCGAAGAAGATCTGTTTACAGTCATCTTTCAGCTCTTAAACTATATGTATACCAAAATTTCGGCGAGGGTCATTGTCGCGAATACCAAATTATATCACATGTATTACTCAAGCTAAATAACCAACCTCCATCACTCGAGAGATAGGAGTCAATCATATCCTATAAGTTTACAAAAACCATGAATCACCGGACACGCACCCCCCTATGTCAATAATATCCAGTAAATGAAGGTCATGCATTAAGGCATTCAGAATGCAAATTAGTAGAAATTCAGCTAATTATAATTCCCTCTAATAATGGGACATTTAAGAGCAACCATATCGAAACGAATAATTATCCCTGAATTCTTATTCTTTAGAAAGCACATTGTAAGTATACAGCAAAAGATACAAATATGTCAAAGAAAAGGCAATGGTTTCTTATAAGCAAAGAACCAAAAGTAGACATCTAATGAAAATTCAACAAATGTGATGATCCTCGCGGATGGATAGAAATTATTTTAACGCCTTCCAGAGAAACCACGCAGTTTCAGTGGTGCTTGACCTCAAAAAGCCCATCTGGACCTGCATTCACCAAAGGCCAGAGAGAAAGTATGGTATTAAAACAGTGTAGCCAGACAGAAGATCTAAATGCAAACACAAAATATGGCAAACATGGATATTACATCCTCAGAGAGATGTATACCACAGAAACTGTATAATAACATACTATAAGCACTGAATTAATTAATTAAAATAATGAGAATACGTGAAATCATGTTTAAATTGAAAACAAGGCCTGCAGCACAGGCAATTCAGAGTTTGGATTGATCAACCAAAACAGGAATAGATATGCAGCAGAACATGACATTCTTGATTTCAGCTCACAGTTTCCTATTCGCAACAGATGCAACTAGAAGAAAAATCCACTCATTTCATTATCTGGGGATGGTGCCAACAATATGTAATTAGTTCAACAAATCACATAATCAATTTATGCAATTCCAAAAGGGACTAGGGATCAAGAGAGCAATCACATAGGTAAAATCTAGAAGAGCAAAATGCATATATTGTACCTAGTTTCAAGGGCCATGCAAATTTTGTCCTACATTTTTGAATTGTTCATATAATGCACTATCTTCTAAAACTTTATGTGAGATTGAGACAAATTCTAGCTTTAATTAGTGTAATTGTAAAAGACTACTTGGAGGCACATGATCCAAATCTTTCTTAGTTCAGTATTTGCAAATAATTGTTTGACAATCAATAATTGCAAATTTTGAACTTCACTATTTAAAATTCTGGTGAAATATTGAAAAACCTGTTTGAGCATTTCAAGTGAAATAATGATTTTCATCACAAAACGTCAACTTTTTTTTCCGGATGAAATGCATATCCAAACATATCAACATCCAAATACTCTTTCAACTTCAACCAAATATGGTCCAAACGCCAACTCAATTTTTTTCAACCATCACGTTTAAATAAGTTAATCCATAAGTAAGAGTCCGTAACATGAAATTATCGAGAAGCAAAATGAAAAAATGACTTATGTCACATAATTACCCCATGGAAACTCCTTGTTGCGAATGTGCAGATATGAGTAAGCCTGCGAGCAGAATAAGCAACGGTATAATTGAAGTTGTAATATTAAGTCACACAGGATGAGGGAAATAACATATTATCCACTTGTATTCAAAAACATATGACAATACAACGGTTTTCCACATTGTCATCGTGAAGTAAACAGATCGAGACACTTTACTCCTGAGACTATCCTTTTAATCCCATCAAGCCACTTCCCTCTGTGCAACCCCAAATAAATCACCAAAACATGCATAACAGGAGTAAACCTTGTTGGGAATAAAAGTTAGATATTTGCTTCTCAGGAGGCCACTTGCAGCAAGTGTCTCCGTACTATGACTCGACTGTTCAAAAGTCCCTTCTATAACAGAAATCCCGCAAACCCTTTAAATAAGAGAAAAAAATGAAGAAGCTACTCCGCTCATATCAATTTAACTTCTCAACTACTATTTTAATATTTTATTCAACTACCACTTATATAACACAAGTCAAATTGTCACATAACATAGAATTGCTGGAATAACATTCTACCATTTCTTTTCTTTTTTCCTGATAAGTACATTCTACCCTTTCTTTACATTGGATATATCAACAAATAATGAAAATCTAACAATATGAAATTAAAACCATATTCCCCTATTTTGTCTTTCTTAAAGAAGACATTCATCCTCTTCTTTAACTGCACCTCCCTACTTACTGTTTCCTATTCCCTCCGCCAACCCTATTGCGCTTTATCCACTATTTTTAGGGCATTGATATCTTGCTTCAAATAGTATTGTTAACTACCTTCTTAAATTATTAGAGTTTCTCAAGCATAGAAGAGGAATAACTGAAAGATTTCAGAATAGAGAGAACTTATGTCATCTTATTCATAGTTGTATATATTTTCGATGAAACCAAGCAAAACCTCCATCATGGATTTATAATGTTCTGTCACAACTCTCTTTTTGAATTAATACAAAAAGAACATAAATATCCTCCTTGCATTCGTAAGTGTTGGCAATTTTCCAGCTGCTTAAACCTTTTAAGGCTGACGGCTCATCATGAATATGTGATATATTTCTACACATTGCACTTATGCGGTGAATTCATTATTTCTAGGCCATTAAGAGAATTTTTCCACTACTTGAAGGGAAGAAGCGAAAATCCATCTGATCGATAACGCCAACATGACTTTCTACTTTTAGCCTAAGGTCGGCATCTAAAATTGAAAGATAGACAGAGGAACATACTGTTGAACACAAAAAATCCAAATTCCTGACATTAAATAAAGTAAAAGAAATTCAAAGAAAATGCTTACAGGAGGCTCATCAGAGTGAGGGTGACCCTTTGACAGACAAATCGCAGCAAGAATAGTGCAGGAAACTATTCCAACATAAGTAATTTTCTCCCACTTAGAGGCTTCACCTGGCCACATCATATGAAAGATACACATCCAAGTTAATCACTTTAAGCACAACGAATCAAGCAACTAGGACTAATCGCAAACTAGTTAGGATCAGCTATACATATCTTCTATATTAATTCTGCTCAGGCCAATTTTATTCCAAGAAACTTGTCTTTTCTACAGAATTTAACTCTAATTCAATTTCACTTTAATTACATTCCAATAAAACATGTAAATATAGCACTTTAAACACAACAAATCAATCAACTGAGCCTCAATCCCAAACTAGTCAGGATACGCTATAAAAGTCTTCTTTACTAATTCGGCTCAGGCAAATTTTATTCCAACATCTTGCCTTCTTTTATGAAATGTAACTCTAAGTCAATTTCACTTAATTACATTCCAATAAAACATGTAAATACAGCATACACGGAGCATAAGATCTAGACAAAGTGAATAAACAATAGCATATGAAAGCGCATCCAGAAAGAAGAAAACTGTATATTGAAGATTAAAGATCGGATTCAATGCAAGTACGAATGAATAAAACCTAATTCAAATTAAAAATGAATGAGACTACATACGGGCCTCTTCCTCAACGGATGAGTGAGAAGAGAGGGTCCTCTTGGAGGCCGGAGTTACACGAAGAGCGCCGCCGCGGAGCGCGGAGCGAATACTAGATCTGAACATCGCCGTCGCCATTTAGGATTTCTCTTGTTCTCTGCTTGTGGATTGAACTTTCCGTCTCTGTGTATACTACTGCCCCTTGCCCTTGTTAAACACCAAATTCGCACGCTTTCCGTTCTCGCGCGTGTGAAGATATTCTTTAAGGGCCGGGTTTGTAGCCCACTTGGACTGTTGACTAAGTTTAAGGTAGCGTTTGCTTGAGAATTTCAAAAACCAGAAATATGCAAGGGGAAATTTTGAGCTCTTGAAAATTTCAAATTTTGAGCTCTTGAAATTTCAAATTTTTGAAATAATATTTTTGTAACAATGTCTCAAACAAATATTTTTTAAAAGTCACTTAGTTAGAACTTAAAAATTGTATAAATCTACTTTTGGCTGGAGTACAAACTATTATTAGCTCATTTCTAGCTGTCGATTAATAATTATATTGGCTTAATTAATTTATAACCATAATTATAAATTATTAAATATATGAATTAATTTGTGACAATTATTATTAATCTATAAACATTTGTGAAAAAAAAATATGTGGAAAGATTGCAAAGAGAACTCGAAGTATGTTTGAAAAGATCTTTAAAAGAAAAGTGTTTATTGCAGATGTGTGTTGTTTTATCGCTTATTTAAAAGTAATTTTTTACATGCAGGCCCATTTTTTATAAGTTAGAGTGTAATAGCTCACCCGCAAAGTTAAGACACGTAAGAGAATTTTCTTTTGCAAGTACAAGTGCTAAGTATGTACTATGTATCAAGCTAAGCTTGATGATATCCTAGATATTAGAGGATGTTATTTCTCAGCTGAACATAAAAATCTTCAAAAAAACAAAAGAAACACTGAACATTTTTATGAAACTTTTGGTTTGGAATTTTGAATTCAAATCCCACATTATATTACACTTCACATAGAGAGATTACACAAAATCAGATTGCACGAATATGATTT